TGATCAAAATTTAAGCATTTATTTAATTATTTGAGTAATAATAATTCTAATTCTATTTTTTAGCTGTTTTGTTATTGCAGAGTTATAGTAACGAAATTCATTTAAAAAAACAAAATTAAAAATGTAGAAAATATATTGGTTAATAACTGCTATAGTAATTTTTTGCATAAAAGTTTCTAACCTCTTCGATTCAATCGATACTATCAGGTCAATCATGTTTAAAGACTACTATTTGAAGATAATTGGTTTACTAAGAAAAAATGAGTTCGATGTTAAACCTTTGAATAAGCTCTCCAAATATTCTACTGTTCTAGTTTCTTTCGAAAAATACTCTTTTTATCTCTTCATCTGGCATGAAAAAATCAAAAATAAACAGGATTATCTAGATTTATATAAAGCAATTCAAGATTATAAATGTCCAGATAATCCTACACATACCGGTAATAGTCGAATTAACTTTTTCAAAGAAGATCATGTAATTGTATGTAGATCTCTGGACAGTAAAAAATGTTGTAAAATAGAAGAATATGCAAACGCAGACAAAGAATTTAAATTTCATTATTGCGAAAAAGATGAAATTATTAAGCATATTATAGAATATTTTTCTTATCAATATGCGATATCTAAAGAAATGAATGTAGGAGTAACTAATTCATTTGCAAAATTTATGATAAATAATGTGAAAAAAATTACATCATTTGATGATTATTGTAAAAAGTTTGCTACTTCATTTTTAATGTAAAAATTTAATATTGACAAAGCTTTACAATTGAATACTTATTAGTTATATGTTAATTAACAAATTTGTAAATAATTTTGTATTCAATAAAAAATTGAAACTAATAATATTTTTTATCATTAATTAAAATTTTAATTATTAAGTCAATTAATACTGAGTAGCTCTTCTGATATCTTTCCTGTGTTCGATAGAAAATGATTTGTGATTATTTCAATTTTCTTAATATCATATTTTGACAAAAGATCGATTACTTATACAAAATTTTCAATTCTTCGATGAAAATATCATTTCTTTTACACATCATATTTGCGAAGGGTGATATACTTTCTTTAGATCTTGATATTAATTAAAATATTCTTGAATGAAACAATTCAAATAGAAATTTTGAATTTAATTCCAAAAAAAAAAAAAAAAAGACCCAACACCAAATTAACATAGCATTTTTCGAGTAGATTTTGCAAGTTTATATTTCTAGCTTTTTTTTTAAAACCAAAGACGAAGCATTTTTTTGCTGAAAGTTTAAATAAAAAACTGCATAACGATAAAGGTAAATTGATTTGTTTAATAAGGTTTTATATAGTTAGAATACGATTATTACATAAAGATGTATATAAAATTTTCTTCTATAATAAATATAAATAATTTAAATAATTTATTGAATTTAATATGTTTATGTAATAATGACCCGTAAGTAACGAAGGATCTGAGCACCATAAGCGACGACGTGTTTCATACATAAAATTTTCTGCCGGCATTATAAAGTATATAAAAAAACCTACGTATGATTCAATCATGTCATTCGTATAAATAGTAATTCCTTTCATGTTTCCAAGAGTCACAAAATTCAATTTTAATCAGAGCTAAAAACAATAACACTCAAGTAGTGGAAAAGCTACGAATGTAATGTTCACGCAGAAATTTATCTTTTTATCTTCTGACCAAAAATCATAGCAGGATTTATTGTTAATTTTGCTCAAAAATCATAGCAGGATTTATTGTTAATTTTGCCCAAATTTATAATTTAATTCTGCCTAAATTTATATACTAATACCACCATAAATTTGCCCAAATTTATGTCTTAATTTAAATTCATCTGCTTCATTTAAGGTCATTTAACAATTCTGGAAATTCATGTATATGACTAAGATCTAACTGCTCTTTTGCATTTGTTCTAACAAAAATTTCAATAACTCTGTCTAAATCATTATCAAGTTTAAAACCTCTTTTAACATGTCAGAACCTAAATCTAGGTTTCTAGCCTGTACAACTTTGATCTCCTCGTGATCATGTGCATTTAGATTATTTAGATCTTCGAAAGGATATATGTCTGACCATTCTTTGTCAGCTACAAATTTTTTGCTAAACTTAAATCAATAAAAAACCCAAATTAATTTACAATTAGTCTTCAAATAGAAAAAATTTACTTACTAGCTTGCAACAAATTTATTGCGTACGTCTCCTAACGTTAAACTAATTCCATTCACTCTGATAGCTTTGTTAACAAATTTATTGTTATCAAGCACTTCTACAACATATCTGCCAATATGCTAAAGATGTAAGAGACACTTTTTTATCTCTTTCTGCATAAAAGTTAGCATCTCTGGTAGTTGTATCAAATCCGAGCCAAGCAAGATACTCGTAAGCTAACCCAGCATAAAGATAAAAATAGTCAAGTTTAACTCTGCTTAATTCCATGATCTCTGTTTTCTTTACAACTTTTCTCTTTTCTAATACTTCTTGAAAATCTTTCTTATTTTCGAAGGTATACCAAAATGGTTTAGGAATTAGTTTTATAGAACTTTTAGAAAATATAATTAGTTCTGTCAATTAAATCTTAGTTACTTGTAAGCTTAAACCGTATTAACTTACTCTTCTGTAATAGATTTATAATCAACATAAAACTCAGATGGGACAAATCTTTCTATCCTTTTTATTCTTTTTCATTTCTTTCAAATCTTTCATTAATTTCTAGTATAGCTTTTAGAAGGTTTATCTGAGCATTATAGCATGGCTTTCTGCTGCTTATACCTAAAGCACTAACAACAAAACTAGCTCCTGTTAAAGCTTTGACAAGTTCGTCATGTTTGTTATAGTCTACCAACTCAACATTTACACCTTCTTCTGCTAACGTTTTGGCTCTATTTTCTCTTTTCAATTTTTCCTCTTCAAGATATTCACTGTTAGCATGTCGAATTACTTTGATTGAGATTACATACTTCTTGTATCCATATTTAAGAAAAGCCTTAGCAATATTAAATCCTATATCTCCAGTAGCTCCGGTAATTACTACAAGCTATCTTTTATCACTTTCAGAAATAGTGGTGGGATAATTTTCTAAAATTTTATTAAAAATGTTTTGCTTACAGAAATCTAATGCATCACTTTGCCCTGGAATGCCGCTAATTTTATCAAATGACTAGCTTCTTTTTTGTTTATACCAAGTTCAAAAAAATTTTTCCTTTCAAATACTTTGCTTCAGGATTAGTCTCTTTTTCAAGCATATTCAAATCTTCTAAAAGTCTCACGAAGCTTTTTATTTCACCAAATTTGTTATTTTGTTGTTCATAAACTAACATAGACTGCGTTAAACTAGCAATTTTGGCATTGTTAAAGAGGTTTTCTGAAGCTCTTTTTAAATAGTTTTTAGTTCTTTTTTTAAATGGTAATTCGACAAAAGTTACTTTAGGTTGAGGCATATTGCCAAAGAATTTAATGCTCTTACAGAATCTCCTCTGTTTTATTTAAAAAAAAAACTTAAAATAATTCAATGCAAAATGGTTTTAAAATTGTTCTTTCGAATTGTTCAAAATATTACAGTACTTTTAGACTCAGGTTGCTTTCTTGAATTATTTTATTTACAAATAATTGAAATCAATTCGTCATTAAATTATTTAACTTGAAAAGCTTTTAATTCATGATTAAATATATTTTATTAAATTAATACAACTTTTTTGAGTTAAGAAAATTTAATTAATTTCAATTTACAAGAATAAATAATTTTGAAATCTGCATATTTTTTTTCTATAAATAATTTCGTGCGCCGTTTGTTCAAGAAACTAGTCAAAATAAAATAGTTTTGTCAATCATCAGTTTTGTCACACATCTATCAATTTGAGTTTTCCAGTGTTTGATTATTTTATATAAATCAAATTGAACCAAATGCTAATCTTATACTATTACCAACGAAGATTTATCAACATCTTTTTTTCAAAAAAAAAAAAAAAAAATTTATGTGAATCTAAATTTTTTATTTACATATGCTCTTGTTCTTCTTAGCTTTGTGGTCATTATCAAAAACATCAGCTTATTCAGGAATTGATTCCCAACAGAAAGAAGATATTGTACTTATTTGGAGATTAATTGTCGCAAAGGTAAGGTTACCCTTAATGCAAGTCAGATTATATAAAAAAGATTAGCATTACTAAATTAATTTTCGATAAGCATTACATCTACTGTTTTCTAATTAAATTTTTTTTTAGAGCAAATTGAATGTGACACTAAATCTT